GCGGGCGCCGCAGGCCGAGGCGGAAGCGGGGGCGGCCGACGCGAGGCGGAAGCGGGCGCCGCAGGCCGAGGCGGAAGCGGGGGCAGGCCGCAGCGCAGCAATCGGCAGCGGGGCCCGTAACCGCGCCATCCATGCATGGATGGATGCCTGTAAGCGCGTAATTAGCGTAAGGGACGTGGGCGTGCGGGGGTGGGCGCGCTGCCGGGGCGACCCGGCCGAAAAAAAAGCAAAAGCGTATACATATACGTATACATTACTTGCGGGGGCGGCCTTTTTTCGATTTATGCCCATCATGCCCTCCGTTATGAAGGGGTATGGGACAATCTTAGCCGTCCTTGTGTTCAAGGGGGTCTACCGAAGCGGAAGTGAATCTTTTAATATCATGTATAGAAATGTCAACAGCATAGCTCCTCAGCCTTCAGAAACTGATGTAATAAAATCTGGAGAAGTTTTTATTGTGCACCTGTCAGAGGCGGGAAGGTCAGATCGAGTATTCATGATTGCAAAGACTAATTTTATGTGTGGTATCCTGTTTGGTACTACACTACTGACAGAAGCAAGACGTTGGTCCAAGCGAACCATCATGGCCTTGAAGATAACCGAAGATGTTACAGCAGATAAATGGGAGGGAAAGAGAGAGGAGGCAGCAACAAGGCCTGTAGACCTTAATGATACACCCTTCGAAGCAGAGCTGTGGCCTCATCTAGAAATCTTAGAAGACCTTAGATTGTTCTATAGGGAAGGCACAGTTCGCAGAAGGTTCGAGTTAGTAAATTTGCCTGTGCAACTTGGCAAAGAGGGGCCCATTGGTGATGATCTGGACGATGAGTTGACAGGGGATGATGAGTTGACAGGGGATGATGAGCACGAGGGTTCAAAGTTCTTAATACAACCTGTCTTGCATTTTAAACGCAACAAAGGGCCGAGACCACATGGTGCCAATGGCAATAAGAAAGAGGTAGCAGAAAGTGTCAATAATGTGGAAACTGACTGTGGGCGTGCATCAAAAGAAGCTTCAAAAACCAAAAATCTTGTTAGTGATAAGCTCCCGGGAGAAGCATCTGAACAGTTACACCATTCTGTTAGGGCACTAGTTGAAGCTTTGATCATTTCAGAGGATAAAGCTGAAACAACAAAAGGGCCAGCGGCTATTATCAATCTGGGCAATAGTTGCTACGCAAGTTGCACATTACAGTATTGTCAAACTGTCCCAGAGCTGCAATTGGAGTTGGAAAGGTATCACTACCCCCTCAAATTTCCTCTATGATTATACCTCAGATTATATAGGCTAACCATTGTCTATTATTTTTCTTTTCCAGATACCTAAAAGGTCCAAGAACTCGAATCGCCAGTCAATCAGGGCATGGTCTAATTGATGCTCTACATCAAACTATAGTACGACTTGGTAATAATGGTAGACCTATACGTCCTAACAGATTTATGAAGGTCAGCACGTCCTTGCCATTTCTTCTATTAGTTTTGTGCAAATCTGTTTTTATCTAGATCTGATGCATCAAGGTATAAATGTTTTGGTGCTTTCTCACCGTTTTTTTAGCAGATACTACGTGAAGTGTATCCAGATTTTGGAGAGATGCAAGGGCGCCATTATAGGCAACAGGTACCTTCTGTTCAACTAGTACGGTGGAGGTGGAAATATCATTAACAACATATATTAGCCATGTGTTCAATCTTTTATAACATTTTATTTACTTACTAGATGGATTCAAAGACTTCGATAGTTAGAAATATCTGCAAACCATAACCAGGCTTCTAAGATAAACTTCTCATAGCGTGAGATCTCAAACTGAGTTTGCAGGGGAGCGAACCTTTTTTCGAACTGGAAGTATGGGGAAAAATGAAAATCATAAAGAAAATACTGTGAAAATTATGGCAATAGCTATCATTAGAGAAGAAATAAATGTCAGTGTGACCGGAGAGCCTAGTGAACAGGCAGGAAGGCAACGATGCCCAGATCACCCCTTATATGTTATTTATGAGAAGTTACTAACCATAAACGTTGCAGGTCTCATCAACCTGATCGGAAAGTTCCGGGGGAAACCCTAAATCTGGGTCTACCGGATCGGACGATGACGGTGCTATCGGTATCGTCCTCTCTCATGGGGGCATCGTTTTGGAGCGAGTGCTGGTTGGAGGGGACAAGAGGAGGAGCGGTGTTTCGTCTGCTCCATTGATGACGGCGGATCTCGGCGGCGTGGCGCAGTGGAGACTCGGCGCCTGATGAGTGGAGATGAACTCGCGCAGGAGGGTGACGCTGACTGGCGTCATGGTGGCGTCGGTGGCAGTTGGACCGGCCAAGGTTAATGCAGCAGTACAACTCTGAAGATGAATTCGTGGCAGGTGGCTGCGGCGGCCTCATACCCGGCAGGGGTCCTGGTTGAGAAACACGCCGGACTGGTGGGTGCCCATACCCGACAGGCGTTTTGGGTGGGACCTCAAGTCTTTAGATGTTTAGGTTTGGCTGCGTGGTCTGTTTGGTATTAGGCCCAGACTTTCAGCGCCCCTACATCAACTGGATAGGGATAGCGACAATTGTTGCTTAGTTTGGTGGCTTTAGACTTATTGGTGTATGACTCTATACAGTCTTGTGTCAATAATTAATAAAGTGGCCGTATGCATCGTCCAGATGCAGAGGCGAGGGGTCGTTCTCTTTTTCTAAAAAAAGAAAACCACAAACTTGTTAGAGTTAGGGCATGTTCTGATTCTCTCCAGCTCTCAACTCTGCAAACTTCACACGAGAAGCTGACCCGAACGCATAAGCTGTGAGAAGCTAGATCTGAGAAGCTAAACCATCCCCTAGTGTAAAAAGGAGAAGCAAGGTCGGCCCAGCTCCACCAAAATGCGAAGCGTGGAGTTCGATCAATTTACACCCAACTGCCACCGCCAAAGATACCGCTTCACTGCCTCTCCACTCGAAAAGAAAACGAGCAGCTCGAATCGTTACGCTCAGCCTCGCTCGAACGAGTACCCCTCCTAATTGGGCTAGATCCACCCGGCCCAACCTATGCCTAACAGGCCAGAGCCCTCCCAACCGGGCTGCAGCTGTGGGAGAAGCTGTGGATGGAGCCGAACACTCCTGGGATCGCTATGGGTGTGTTTGGTAGGGTGTATGAAGGGTGCATGAGAGCAAAAGTTCCCTTCTCGACCCACTTTTGGGTGTTTGGTAGAGTGTATGAAGGGTGCATGAGTCCACACTAGTTTAGCACAAATACACTAGGAGCATGCATGAGGAGAGCATGCATGAGGAGGGGTGTTGAGGTGAGCATGCATGAAGAGGGAACAACTATGCTGAGATAAGAACGCAACCAAACACACCCTATGTGAAGTTAGAAGCGAGGAGAAGAAGTTGAATATGTGGAGTTCTGTGAAGCTGGAGAGAATCAGAACAGGCTCTTAATCTTTTCATATAAAACCCTTTAACAGTGGCGGTAAGGGCGACTTCTCACCTATGCCACGTCCAAAGATTTACTGTCGCTGGTGAAAGGAAAAAAAGATTTAATCAGCGCAGGAAATTTCGAGGCAACTTCCTCCGGTATCGAGCGCAGCGCATGCAACCCACCTCTCTCGTTCTCTCCGCACACGCAACCTCTTGCACCGCACGCCAACGCAGCCGCCGCCTCTTCTCTTCCATCGTCGTCGTCGCCTCGTCGGATCTGGGGAGAAAGAGAGTGCGAGTCTCCTACCTTCGCCGCGTCCGCGTCCGCATCACTCTTCCGCGCCCTGGCGCCGCCGCGTCCGCCACTTCTCCTCGCCTTGTCGTCCCCGTCCCTCTCTCATAGCCGAGCTCCAGCCCTCCACCATCCCCTCCTCCTTGACCGCCTCTCCCCTCGTCTGAAGGAGCACGGGGCTGGCAGCTGCGCCTGAGCCGCCACAAGGCCGTCAGGTAGAGAAGATTTGGTGCCACTGGCCGTTCCCACCGCTGTCCGAGTCCGACGTCTCGGAGTTGCCAGAGTCGCCGTCGCCATACGAAGACGAGTCGGCGGGGAGATGCTGGTGTTGGGATTCGGGAGGGTCCAATCTGCAGCAAATCCTTGGGAGATATGACGGTAAGTTGTGCCACTTGATGCCAAAACTGTTTCTGCATTTCCCTCTGATGATTGTGTTCTTCTATCTCATGAAATTTAGAAATTTCAGAAGCTATTTAATGTGAAGTCCATATCCTCTGTTTCTCTGTAGGTGTATTTTGGAATGCTCGACGGCTTGCTGGCTGCAGAAGAGCTTCCTGAGGAATACCGGAACCGATGCCAGGTACACTATTTCTCTCATTCTGATTTCGTTCTTTCCATTGACTGAAGGATTTACGCTGCCGCTGTGCCTGATTGCTCCAGGATATACTCTGTAACGACTGCGGAAAAAAGGGATTTCTCGGTTCCACTGGCTGTATCACAAATGCGCCGCCTGTGGCTCGTACAACACCAGAGTTATCAAGACCGAGGCACCAGATTGTTCCATGTCGAATTAACAGGCGAGTCGTTTTCTGTTTTCTTCTTCTACTCGATTCTTTTGGAAATTCGCCTCTACAATATATCTGGATACAGAGGAGCATTGCATATGTATAGGTGTGATGCTTAATAAAGTCAGTACGGAGCATGGATGCCCCTTTTGGTTAGCAGCGCAATTAATAGTCAGTTTACTATAGCAAAACACTATTAATTCTATGTAGTAACAGCCATTCGCCCCGTCTCTAGGATAATGCTTTAGGATAGTGCAAGAAATGGCAGTCTGGCAGCATGAATAGAACCAAGGCCGCCTGTCACTGCGCCACCCTGCATCACCCGGGGCCTCGTTCCTCGCTCCAATTGGCCATTTTGGCTTTGCATCTCCTGGGGCTGCACACTCCTGTCATGGCGAGTTCGCGACCAGCCGAATCGTCCGCCCGAGGCATGGGCAAGGCCCAGCAGCACCAATGCTACCAACAAAAAATGCCTCTTCTGTCCAAGCTGCATCCGACACGGACACCACTTCAACCAGAGTACCAAACCATGCAACCAGACTTGGCTATTTCCAGTGCAAAAAAAGAGCCAGCAGCCCCGGCCTTGGGTCTGCTGTTGTTGTAATGTTGTTGATGGAAGCTTCTCGTGGTCAGGGTGCCGAGCAGAGACTCTCACGTCCTCAGGGGGAAGGCCTCCTTGTAGTTTTGCAGACCGGATGAGCAGACGTTTGCTAGCAGCAAGTCGACAGTCGATGTGATCTCTCCAGGCCCAGGATGCGCTGGCTTTCTGCTCTGCACCACCGGTGCACGCCATGCTGGCCAGAGTTAGGCTCGGCACGCCTGGCATTTCTCTCGATGGTCCAATCTTGTGTGGCGAACAAGTCTCAGAGCTGTGTCTGTCGAATTGACCCTCTGTTCCAGTCCAATGGTTTAGGACATGAATGAAAGAGTCAGCATGCAAGCCAAGACTGCGTTACTCTATTTGAACTATGCATTTTACGAATACGCTGACAGGTGTAAGATAGTAAGATTTAAAATGTGTTGGCGAAAAGATTTATCACTTATCAGTAGGCTCAAACTGTACAGGTCCGCCGACGAGGATGTGGATGAGGACGAGGTCGAGCCCCTTCCCGGCGCGATCTCCTTTTGGAGGCTATTCAACTTCGTCGATGGCCTCGACTGGGCACTCATGGCCGCTGGCACAGTCGCCGCCGCCGCCCACGATGCAGCATTCGTAGTCTACATGCACTAATGGTCCTTGAATTTTCTCGATGCTGAGCGGATTTAGTCTGCTCTACACGGTCGTAGCGACGAGCCCCTCAACCAATTTAAGCAGGTAAACCGTTGCTTCACATGCTCGTCTCTTAATTGCACGCCTGACAGGGCCTGCAACGTGATATTTATTGCCTGACTCCCAAAGGTAAATTCAACAACAAATGTGTTTAGGATCCTGTAAGGAACCAGATGCCTCTCTCAATATCTATTGAATACAAGCTTTGATTACAAGCAACACCAATGGAGATACAAAGTTTGGGGATCAGGAAGAACATAAGGAGGAGGATGAGAGGTAGGGGAAGAGAGCCGCCGTGCCAAAGCCGTGATCCACTGGATGACCAGAACAATGCCTACTCCCTCGTACTTGTACTCTGTAGCTTTAGTGGTTTCCTGATGGGCTAGGCCCACGTACCGGTCCAGGGGCAAACCCACATGTTGGGTAACGTAGTAATTTCAAAAAAAATCCTACGCACACGCAAGATCATGGTGATGCATAGCAACGAGAGGGGAGAGTGTTTTCTACGTACCCTCGTAGACTGGAAGCGGAAGCGTTAGCACAACGCGGTTGATGTAGTCGTACGTCTTCACAGCCCGACCGATCAAGCACCGAAACTACGACACCTCCGAGTTCTAGCACATGTTCAGCTCGATGACGATCCCCGGACTCCGATCCAGCAAAGTGTCGGGGAAGAGTTCCGTCAGCATGACGGCGTGGTGACGATCTTGATGTTCTACCGTCGCAGGGTTTCGCCTAAGCACCGCTAGAATATTATCGAGGATTATGGTGGAGGGGGGCACCGCACACGGCTAAGAGAACGATCACGAAGATCAACTTGTGTCTCTATGGGGTGCCCCCTGGCCGCGTATATAAAGGAGTGGACGAGGGGAGGGCCGGCCCTCTCTATGGCGCGCCCTAGAGGAGTCCTACTCCCACCGGGAGTAGGATTCTCCCTTTCCTAGTAGAACTAGGAGCCCTTCCAAGTAGTAGGAGTAGGAGGGAAGGAAAGGGAAGGGAAAAAGGAGAAGGAAGGAAGGGGGCGCCCCCCTTCCCTAGTCCAATTCGGACCAGACCAAGGGGAGGGGTGCGGCCAACCTTGAGGCCCTTTTCCTCCTTTCCCGTATGGCCCAATAAGGCCCAATACGTATTCCCGTAACTCTCCGGTACTTTGAAAAATACCCGAATCACTCGAAACCTTTCCGATGTCCGAATATAGTCGTCCAATATATCGATCTTTATGTCTCGACCATTTCGAGACTCCTCGTCATGTCCCCAATCTTATCCGGGACTCCGAACTCCTTCGGTACATCAAAACTCATAAACTCATAATATAACTGTCATCGAAACTTTAAGCGTGCGGACTCTACGGGTTCGAGAACAATGTAGACATGACCGAGACACGTCTCTGGTCAATAACCAATAGCGGAACCTGCATGCTCATATTGGCTCCCACATATTCTACGAAGATCTTTATCGGTCAGACCGCATAACAACATACGTTGTTCCCTTTGTCATCGGTATGTTACTTGCCCGAGATTCGATCGTCGGTATCTCAATACCTAGTTCAATCTCGTTACCGGCAAGTCTCTTTACTCGTTCCGTAATACATCATCTCGCAACTAACTCATTAGTTGCAATGCTTGCAAGGCTTTAGGTGATGTGCATTACCGAGAGGGCCCAGAGATACCTCTCCGACAATCGGAGTGACAAATCCTAATCTCGAAATACGCCAACCCAACAAGTACCTTCGGAGACACCTGTAGAGAACCTTTATAATCACCCAGTTACATTGTGACGTTTGGTGGCACACAAAGTGTTCCTCTGGTAAACGGGAGTTGCATAATCTCATAGTCATAGGAACATGTATAAGTCATGAAGAAAGCAATAGCAACAAATTAAACGATCAAGTGCTATGCTAACGGAATGGGTCAAGTCAATCACATCATTCTCCTAATGATGTGATCTCGTTAACCAAATGACAACTCATGTTTATGGTTAGGAAACATAACTATCTTTAATCAATGAGCTAGTCAAGTAGAGGCATACTAGTGACACTCTGTTTGTCTATGTATTCACACATGTATTATGTTTCTGGTTAATACAATTCTAGCATGAATAATAAATATTTATCATGATATAAGGAAATATATAATAACTTTATTATTGCTTCTAGGGCATATTTCCTTTCAGTCTCCCACTTGCACTAGAGTCAATAATCTAGTTCACATCGCCATGTGATTTAACATCAATAGTTTACATCGCCATGTGATTAACACCCATAGTTCACATCGACATGTGACCAACACTCAAAGGGTTTACTAGAGCCAATAATCTAATTCACATCGCCATGTGATTAACACCCAAAGAGTACTGAGGTGTGATCATGTTTTGATTGTGAGAGAATTTTAGTCAACGGGTCTGCCACATTCAGATCCGTAAGTATTTTGCAAATTTCTATGTCAACAATGCTCTGCACAGAGCTACTCTAGCTAATTCTCCCACTTCCAATATGTATCTAGATTGAGATTTAGAATCATCTAGATCAGTGTAAAATTTGCATCGACGTAACCCTTTACGACGAACCTTTTGTCACTTCCATAATCGAGAAACATATCCTTATTCCACTAAGGATAATTTTGACCAATGTCCAGTGATCTACTCCTAGATCACTATTGTACTCCTTTCCCAAACTCAGGACAGGGTATACAATAGGTCTGGTACACAGCATGTCATACTTTATAGAACCTACGGCTGAGACATAGGGAATGACTTCCATTCTCTCTCTATCTTCTGCCGTGGTTGGGTTTTGAGTCTTACTCAACTTCACACCTTGTAACACAGGCATGAACTTCTTCTTTGACTGTTCTATTTTGAACTACTTCAAAATCTTGTCAAGGTATGTACTCATTGAAAAAACTTACCAGGCATCTTGATCTATCTCTATAGATCTTGATGCTCAATATGTAAGCAGCTTCACCGAGGTCTTTCTTTGAAAAACTCCTTTCAAATATTCCTTTATGCTTTGCAGAATAATTCTACATTATCTCCGATCAACAATATGTCTTTCACATATACTTATCAGAAATGCTGTAGTGCTCCCACTCACTTTCTTGTAAATACAGGCTTCACCGCAATTCTGTATAAAACTATATGCTTGATCAACTTATCAAAGCGTATATTCCAACTCTGAGATGCTTGCACCAGTCCATAGATGGATCGCTGGAGCTTGCATATTTTGTTAGTACCTTTAGGATTGTCAAAACCTTCTGGTTGCATCATATACAACTCTTCTTTAGTAAATCCATTAAGTAATGCAGTTTTGTTTATTCATTTGCCAGATTTCATAAAATGCGGCAATTGCTAACATGATTCGGACAGACTTAAGCATAGATACGAGTGAGAAACTCTAATCGTAGTCAACACCTTGAACTTGTTGAAAACCTTTTTGCGACAATTCTAGCTTTGTAGATAGTAACACTAGTATCAGCGTCCGTCTTCCTCTTGAAGATTCATTTAATCTCAATGGCTCACCGATCATTGGGCAAGTCAATCAAAGTCCATATTTTGTTCTCATACATGGATCTCATCTCAGATTTCATGGCCTCAAGCCATTTCGCGGAATCTGGGCTCATCATCGCTTACTCATAGTTCGTAGGCTCATCATGGTCAAGTAACATGACCCCCAGAACAGGATTACCGTATCACTCTGGTGCGGATCTCACTCTGGTTTACCTACGAGGTTCGGTAGTAACTTGATCTGAAGTTACATGATCATCATCATTAGCTTCCTCACTAATTGGTGTAGTAATCATAGGAACAGATTTCTGTGATGAACTACTTTCCAATAAGGGAGCAGGTACAGTTACCTCATCAAGTTCTACTTTCCTCCCACTCACTTCTTTCGAGAGAAACTCCTTTTTTAGAAAGGATCCATTCAAAGCAACGAATATATTGCCTTTGGATCTGTGATAGAAGGTATACCCAACATTTTCTTTTGGGTATCCTATGAAGACGCACTTCTCCAATTTGGGTTAGAGCTTATCAGGTTGAAACTTTTCACATAAGCATTGCAACCTCAAACTTTAAGAAACAGCACCTTAGGTTTCTTGCCAAACCATAGTTCATACGGTGCTGTCTCAACGGATTTAGATGGTGCCCTATTTAACGTGAATGCAACTGTCTCTAATGCATAACCCCAAAACGATAGTGGTAGATTGGTAAGAGACATCATAGATCGCACCATATCTAATAAAGTACGGTTATGACGTTCGGACACACCATTATGCTGTGGTGTTCCAGGTGGCGTGAGTAGTGAAACTATTTCACATTGTTTTTAACTGAAGGCCAAACTCGTAACTCAAATATTTTACTTCTGCGATCATATCGTAGAAACTTTTATTTTTGTTACGATGATTCTTCACTTCACTCTGAAATTCTTTGAACTTTTTAAATGTTTCAGACTTGTGTTTCATCAAGTAGATATACTCACATCTGCTCAAATCATCTGTGAAGATCAGAAAATAATGATACCTGCCGCGAGCTTCAATATTCACCGGACCACATACATCAGTACGCATGATTTCCAACAAATTTGTTGCTTGCTGCATTGTTTCGGAGAACGGAGTCTTAGTCATCTTGCCCATGAGGCATGGTTCGCAAGCATCAACTGATTCATAATCAAGTGATTCCAAAAGTCCACCGGCATGGAGTTTCTTCATGCGCTTTACACCAATATGATCTAAAGGGCAGTGCCACAAATAAGTTGCACTATCATTATTAACTTTGCATCTTTTGGTTTCAATATTATGAATATGTGTATCACTACGATCGAGATCCAACGAACCATTTTCATTGGGTGTGTAACCATATATGTAAACATAACAACAATTTATTCTCTTACTTAAATGAATAATCTATTGCAATAAACATGATCAAATCATATTCATGCTCAATGCAAACACCAAATAACACTTATTTAG